AAAAAAAAAAGAGCTTAGAGTTGAGCTGGGCTACCTCTTGGGGCAGACTTGGTGATGGATCTGCAGAGATGGTGACTCAGCTGGGTCTAGAAGATGAGTGTCCAGGCAGTGTGGGGGAAGGGTATGCCATACAGACAGTGTGAAGAAACCAAGATGAAATGCTTTTAGAGTGCTTTCTGGGTCTAAAAGGTATAAATAACTCATGGATCAAAGAATAAATTGAAATTAAATTAGGAATTAGAAACTAGTTTTACCTAAATGATGATGAAAATGCTAGATATTGAAACTTGTCAGTTGCAACTATAGCTGTACTTAGAGGGCAAGTTATAGCCTTAATGCATCTACAGGATTGTGAAAAGAAAAGGTGACAATTAATTAAGCATCTATTCCTAAAAGGCATTAAAGGGACAGTAAAGTAAACCCAAAGAAAGAATAAGAAAATAATAAAGATTCATTAATGAAAGCCTAAATTGATGAAATAGAAAACAAATATACAAGCGAGAGTCAATGAAGCAAAAGTTGTTCTTAGAAACTAATAATGAAAATGATAACTCAGACTAGATTGACAAAGTAAAAAGAGAAAACACTAATAACCATATAAGGAATTTAAAACGATACATTATTACAATTTCCAAAGATGTTGAAAAGATCATAAGATAATATTATGAGTGACTTTATGCCAAGTAAATATAATATTGAGATGGCATGGAAAAATTTCTAGAAAAATACAACTTACATGAATAGAGAATAATCCTTTGTCTGCCAGATGGTCCTGGTTCTCTCTTCCTCCTCACTACTCCACTCTGCTTGGTTTAGCAGGACTCAGCTGGTTCAATGGGAAAATACAAGATTTTAGCTGATACTGGTGTTAGTGTGCCAACTTCCTACGCAATTAATGTCAAAGCTCCACACTCTCCTGTCTTCCAGCACCGTCATTTCCTTCCCCAAACCGCTCCCATTGTTATGTGGTTCCTCTAAACCTACCTGTAAATATATGATGTGCTATAGAAAAAGAATGTCTCTTCTGGAATACTTGGTAGGGTGTGTCCAACTGTGTCCAGGCCAAGAACATGTTTCCTTGGGATAAAAAAAAATTGGGGGAATTGCAGACATCCTGATGTATTGTTTGTAACTTCTCTCTAACAAATCTTACTTTACATTATTCGTCCTCATCTTCTGGTTTAGTTTTACCAAACGGACACAAAAAGAAATCAAAATCATGAATTATCCTGTAACTACTGAAGAAATTGAATCCATATGAAAAATGTTGCCATTAAAAAAAAAACAACCCTCCAAGCACAGATAGTTTCTACATGTGTTATAGCAAACATTTAAAAAATAAACAATGTGGGCCAGCCAAGTGGCACGTTGGTTAAGAGCTGGCTTGGGACGTCAGAGGGCCCCAATTTGGATCCCACATATGAAACAGGTGCCTTTCAAGTAATACCAAGCAAAGAGGAGACTCAAAGATTGTGAGCAAAGGTTTCTGGGGCCAAAAAGTACTAACCAATTTTGCTGTAAGGCAATTTTTTTGCATCTCCAGAAACTTTCTAAGAATTAGTAGACATTTCAGTGCATAGATGTGGGTGTTGGCAACCCAGGTGAAAAGGTAGTTAATTAGATGTACCTAACAGGTAAGGGGGTGTAGCTCAGGGGTAGAGCATTTGACTGCAGATCAACAGGTCCCCAGTTCAAATCTGGGTGCCCCCTACCCTATCAGTTTTCCTATTCATAGCTGTCACTCATATTCCCCTTTCCTTTTATCCATGGCCACTTACGATCCTTCCTGAAATCAGAATCCAGAGGGCGTCCCTTGCACAACTGCACTGTGGGTGGGTTGCTGCTCCCCTGTCTTCCTGCACTCACAGTCCAGGTGTCCCTCCTCCTCTTAGCATCTGGCTTCTCCTTCCTTCTGTACATATCTCACTTCATCAACTCTATTGAGTCCTCAAAGAGAAGGCAGGGACTCTCATGCAGAATTCCGCTGGCTTTTCCAGGGCAGGCCAGAGAGTTGCAGATACAGCAGACTTCCCAGGAACAGACCGTAAGTGGTAACCCTATATTGTCACCCTCACCTTCCTACCCAAACAGTTTGGCAGCATGGCATGGTGGGCAGGCCTACTGAGACAAATCATAGCAGCCAGGCTCTCCATGTAGGGTTGACATTGCCCTCTGGGGAAGTGGTTCCTCCACCCAGAGCTCACACACACACTTGCTTCCACCTCACAGGCCCAAAGGCTGGCTTAGCTCCTCTACCAAGGGAGACAGGGATTCTGCAGTGTTGTCCCTACAAACCCCAACTACTGGAGCTCTCTGACATTGTCTGAATTAGAATCCATTTCTGTCTTCACTGAAGGAAGAAAGGTGAAGGGCTGGGAACCTAAGTAGGTGGGTAGCTTTGGATATGGTTGGCCAGCTCTTGGGCTAAACCAAGATGTCAGTGGGAAGTGGCTTGGGGGTCCTTCAGGCAGAGTCTCTCCTTTTTCCCTCTCTGATGACACTGTCCAGGGACTGAGTCCTGGGAATACGCAGAGCTGAGGGAAGGTGTCTTACTCTGAGACAGGTCTGGCAGCTCCTAAAACGTCAGTCCAGGAAGAGGCTATAACAATTTTGCAGAGCTGAGTGTTACCACACACATGAAAGGTATCAATTAGGTTACATTAGTACCTGAGGGGGTGTAGCTCAGGGGTAGAGCATTTGACTGCAGATCAACAGGTCCCCAGTTCAAATCTGGGTGCCCCCTCATTTATGTGCAATTTTGAGTAGTCTTTTTGCCCACCTTCCGTCACACGTTCCCAGTCAAGGATAAATGGGGCTTGGTCTCAGGCTGGCCACTGAGTACTGAGTTGCATTTCTGAAACCCCAAGTTCCTCCCTGGCAGGCTCAAGTTTGGGGGGTGCGGGCTTTGATGCTAGGAGGCTATGTTAACAAGGACGAGTACAACTTGGAGGTGAAGACTTGAAGGAGGCTGAGGATGTAGGAGAATATGGGCCAGTAACATTCCTTGCCTCACTAAATGGCAGCTAGGCAGCAGTTATGAAGACGAGTTGTTCCTGGCACACCTCTAGAAGCAAGGGGAGCACCTCAGAAGTTCCCAGGAATGTCTGGTTTTGCTTCTACATGTCAGAGCCTCCCAGATGCCCGCTAGGGTGAGTGAGAGAGTGTCACCTTGGATAAGTTGCTCAATCTCGCATGTGCCTCAGTTTTTGCATCTATTAAATGGGGGATAATAATAGTCCCACCTCAGAGGGGTTTTTTTCTGTGAGAATTTAAAGCACTTACAACAAACAATACCTAGTACTCAATGTCAGTTGTTACAATCAGCGGCAAATCCACCCTCAGGTAAATGAACAGAGCGGCTGTGTGAGTCCTTATATTGTTGAGCTGCCTGCTTGGGAGTGTCTGCTAAAGGCAGTGAGCTATTCTTCCCAGTGGACATGAGACCCAGTGTATAGGAGGACGCCCGTCCCTCTGTTCCCTGTGGCAGAGGTGCTATGATTAGGTATGAGCTGATTGATCCCCAGCCAGGAAAGGAGTTCATGGGGCTTCTTATACTGCTTGAGCTTCTTTCTAGTCTCCAAAGGGCTGTTCCCACAAAGCCCAGTTTATGTAATAAAAACTCTGAATCTATGTTAAGCTCATATATTTTGGCTCATTTCAGTCTGTNAGAGCGCAATGATGGTGCCAGCTTGGGCCAGTGAAGCAACGTCCTCCACAACTAGACTGAAGAACAAAAGGACAGCAACTTGTCTGTTCCCCTTCTCCCAATTCACCAATAAAAATCTTTAAATAAATAAATAAATAATGTAAATTATTGTTTTTATTATATCTTACATGAACAACTCTGGAGAATAAAAACTAAAACAAGCAGTACCTTCCCCAACTCATTTTATGAGGCTAGTTAAACTTGATATAAAAAATAACAAAGACAGAATGAGAAAAATAACAGTCCAATCTCACTTATTAACATAGATTTTTTAAACCATAAACAAAAGTATTAGTAAATCAAATTCAGCATGATATATAAAAAAATTATGTTAGCATAGGTCCATTAATTCTCTTGAGGATTCCTAAATCTACTAAGCCACCTACGGCTGACTATTTCTTGGAATGGGTTATTCTCATCATTCTCCATCTATATTAACTGAAGAAGTGGAAAATTGGCAGGGTCATCTCCTGTCCTAGATTATAGTATAGTAGAAAGTGCCCTGAACCATATGTTGGCCCATGAGGGTCAGGCCCTCATTAAGTGGGTTTGGCGAGACACCTCGATCACGTGGTTTCTGTTTTATAGGTACTCAACATGATGGGCCCATGTTGACACTGGGTACTCGACACTGAAGGCCATTCTAATAGCCAGTGCTGATGCTTCTCCAGGCTGCTGCCCACACCCTAGGGCTGTAGGCCAAGAGGACACAGAATGCAGGTCTTCTGAGGAGGGACCCTGTCTCCTGCTGTACAGCAGGTTGATGAGTTTTCACTGAAGCAAGCCTGGAAGCTCCCAAAAGAGGTGCATCCTCAAGTGGCAACTCATAGGTTCACAGGTCGTCTGGGTGTGGCTGTACAGATGAAAAGTATTAATTAAGCCACATCATGGCAGCAGGGGGTATAGCTCAGGGGTAGAGCATTTGACTGCAGATCAAGAGGTCCCCAGTTCAAATCTGGGTGCCCCCTGTTTATTCCTAATTTTGGCCTTTTACAATGGTACTGCATTTCCATTTTTTCTTCCTTATTGACATCAATGTAAAGATTTTTCTTTTTTTCTGGAACCAGCAAATGGTGAAGCTTTAATATGGTGGTCAGTGGTTCTTAATTCCAAATATAAATTAGAATCGCCGGAAGAGTTCATAACAGTACCATTTCCCAGGCCCGACTCCAGACCAATTAAATCAGAATGTCTTCGGTGCAGCCCAGGTACGGTAAAAGCTCCCCAGGGCTCCTGGTCTCCAGCTAAGTTGAGAACCAGCTTTAGTAGAGCTTCTAAGAAGCCTTCTCAGGCCCAGGGTGCCTCACCCCCTCTCTGTCTGCCCACCATCTCCTCTGATTCATCCTCTGTGTGCATCATTGGTCACTTGCCCTTAAGTACATCTCCCAGGAACAGTTGCTATTTCAGCGTGTCTTAGTTTTCTTAATTTTCTCCTTCTCAGTCCAGGCATTCTCCTTGGGATGGGCTAGAATTGGTCTTCTGTTTCTAAGCCAAACCACCAGGTTCTGTGGCTCAGGGAGAGAGAGCCCTCATGGGGCTGAGAGAGTTTACAGAGGATGAAATATCAACCTGTTAAAGTATAATTTTAGGCTGTGTAACTATTGAAGACAATGTCATGTCTTATTCAAGCTTTAAAAGCAAACTTCTGCAGAAGCAACCAGTAAATTTTATCAACCATCTCAAAACTGAAGAATGTAATGACTTTCTGTGGTGTGGAGACCCAACAGCTGAGCATTTGGTAGATAATCTCAGACTTCATTGCGGTTTCAGAGGGATAGCATGTAATTCAGAAACACAGGTAGTTTTATCATCCTTTATACTAATCATCTCTTATGACCTCTCTCTCACAACTACCTGAAATATATTGCCTGATCCTTCAGGTTTATAGAATTAACAATAGTTTATACTTTAGATGGGCTAAAAACAGATTCTCATAATAAAACTCTCTGACAGCAAGGAAGTCTTAATTTTTTGTTTTAATATTGAATGACAGGAAAGCACAACAGAGAAATAGCCATTTAAGACAGAGAGCACGGGCAAGTCGAGTCTTCCTGGAGACTGTCTAACTTGATAAGCTGGCAAATAGCTCTTTGTCTAACTCCTTGGGTTGTAAATATTCTGTATCCTCTGAGTTCTCTTATCAGCACACAACATAAGTGCCCAAAAAAACAAAACTTCTTTCATCTTCAGGTATGTGCTTCAGTTTCTCTTTCATTATAGCCAATTCCTTTTGTTAACAAGAGATTTGAATTTTTTTAATTAGTATTTTTTTTCTCAAAGAGGTGCCTTTTGTCATTCCAGTTTCATAAATACTTGGAGCTTTGGTTTAGAACTTGGTGGCTTGCCCCTTTCCTATCCCTGCCCCACCTCCCCCATGACACCTCCTTGATGAGATAGGTGAAGAGTTAACAGGAATGAGCTTGTGAGTTAACAGAAACGAGCTTAAAAATTAAGCGCTGGGCTCCAAATCCCCCTGCTAGCTGTGGGAACAGAACAGTTCCCTGGAGAAGCCAACTGTAACAGCAAACCCCTGCAAGCTGACAAGCACCCCACAGAAAACTAGAAAACTCCAGCTAAACAGAAACTCGGCACAGCTGTCTACCCCAGACTCTGCCCCTGGCAACTCCTCTGCTGGTGCTTCTCTTCTTAAATAAATTTTCTAACTTCTATTCCTTTGTGCCTTGAGAATTCTTTCACAACCCACGAGTGACCACAACACTCCTGATATTGAAAATAATCTCTCTAGTGGCAGGTTCCATCTTGCCTTCTCATTCTACCTCAGGTCCCGCAACCCAGTCCTACCAGCCCTGCAGCCACTCTGTAGAACCCCCATTCACTGGGGGACAGTTCCTTCCCCTTCACCTTTTCCCTAAATCCCCTTTTTTACACTTCCTTGCACACCTGATGCCCAATGTTCCCCTGAAGATGTCCCTCTCCCTTCAGCCTCCCAACTAGAGAGGGCGCCTTCTCCCTGTTCCCATTCTTTATTCCCCACTTTGCGCGTTCTAGGTTCCAGGTCCTCAACTATTCCTCAACACTTCTCCTTTAAAATCGCCTCCATCTCTTTAAACCACACTCTCCTCATCCTCCTTGATGTGTACACTCATATCTGGGACTCCCCAATCTTAGTGGAAGAATCAGGACAACAATCATATTTTCCTTGTCTCCTCCTGTTTTCATCCTCAGTTAGTGTCAACATCACGTTAATGACCCTTCCACTGCTAGCACTTCATGAAGTTTCCGTCTTTGCTCTGACAATGTTCACAGATTCCACCCACAGCAGCTCTAAAGAGGCATGGTGAAGCCAGGGATTGAGTATTCTCCCTCTTACCCCAATCTGTTCTATCCTCTTTTTGGCTGTTAGTTGGGTGCATGTCTTCATGGAAGAAAAACTACATTTCCCAGCCTCCCTCGGAGTTAAGTGAGGTAGTCTGGTCAATGAGATGTAGGCGAGAGTGATGGATGCTCTTAAAGAGAGAGGCTGTCTTTCCTCTTCCCTTTTCCTGCTGGTTGGAAGATAGACATGATGCTAAAGTGGGAGATGTCATGTGGGACCATGAGGAGGCCTTTGGAATGGAAGCCGTGTGGGCTGGAACAACCAGGAAGCAGGAAGCAGGTTCCCTGTCTACAGACAACAGCTACTAAAATGCTTTTCAATGGTGCAGAAACTCCCCACACCTGTGCATTTTTCAAGACTTTGGTGAAGGGAGTCATTGTTGATCGGATGGAAGTCACACATGATAAATCCTCTCCAGCTTTCCTGTCTCCTGCTGTCTATGGATTCTTTCTACATTATACCAAGGGATCGCTACTACTGTAAATGCATTTAGAATTGGCCTCCTGTGAATCCTGATTCAAGTCAACAACTGGGCAAACAGGTTTATCCCAGTTGCTCTAGTCATGATATTTTAAATAGAATGTTTATTGGATACACTCATAAAAATAAATTCAAACTTATTAATACTTAAAATTATACTCTTTCTACTTCACAAAATACTTCAAGAATCCATATCAACATGTGTTCTTTAGATTTTTCTCAATACAAATTAGCCAGTTTGAAATTATTTTGGTGTGTGAGTCTTCACTTCCCAGCAGGTGGTGTCCAGAGTCAGCTGAGATCTTTCTGTCACTAGATCAAGAGACAGTGAGGGGTGGGGCAACTGATCTCTTGCAAAGAAAACCCTTCAATCTGGGCCATTCAGCCTTCAGACAAGAAGAAGGGGTGCTGGGTTGGCTGGCCAGGGAGAGTCTGTAGAGCAGGTTATTTGGTATAATTTGAGTTTTCCAAATGCTCTCATAAGTCCGCATTACAATTCATTAAGTCCCACTCTTTGTTGATCACAGATCTATCTTCAGCAAGGAAACTGGTGAAAGCTGTGGGTTCCACCGACACTAGTCTGACAACTCTCAGGATCAGCCTTTACTTGTATTTCCAGCTAGTTCAGGTGTTCTGTGACAGGAGATAAAAGATGATCACAATACAATCAGAGAAAGTTGTGGGTTTCCAGGCCATATAGACTGAAACTTGAGCTAATTATTTGCTTTCTTTAAACTGCTAGGATCAGCCATCCAGCCCTAAAGCCACATCTAATATTCCATGGGAACTCAACTTGACCCCTAGAGCACCGCAGGCAAAAATTCACTCAACTTTTTCTACTGTATGATATGGGTGCCTAGATTAGCACCCCCTAAACAACGTAGATTTTTATTATCTTCAGGTCCAGTAGGGCCAGATTACCAATCCACGTTCCCTTCTTCTAGAGAGAGAAAGAGAGAGAGAGATTTCCCCAAAATTCAAGGGGAGGACTTACCTGGCATTTTAGTTACCCTCAACCAGAGACAGGACCCTGTCTTCCACCAAGACTGAGACAATTGTGAATTCCCAAAATGGGGTTCAGAGGGTTCAGATGCTGGACAAATAAAAAAATTAATTTTCACCACAAGACCTATGAGAACTGACTCAGCCTTGGAGAAACTGGATTTATCTAGAGCTGCAGGTGTCAGGAGAGGCTTTCTGGTAAAAATCTGACCTGCCTCTTCTCTCTCTTTTCCTTGCAGGCTGAATCAATGTGGTGGGAAAAGCTGAAAGGAGAACAAAATGTTCAGTGGGTAAAACTGAAGGTGAGTAGGGGGCACCCGGATTTGAACCGGGGACCTCTTGATCTGCAGTCAAATGCTCTACCCCTGAGCTATACCCCCACCTGCTTACCTGGGCCTAATAAGCACTCTTAACCTGCAGAGCCACACCTTGGCTGTCATCACCTTGAGACATGTTCTTGCTAGTGTTTTGCCATCGTACACCCTGCAAACTGATGCCCTTCCTACTGTGCCACTCCACACCCCCACCTCTGCACACCTGATTGTCACCTCTACTTATGACAGGCATCCTTCCTTCCCTCAATCCCTGGCTGAAGGCACCAACATTGAAATCATCAAGTTATGAAACTAGAACATCCTTCAGACTCACCTGAAGGTCAAGACTCAGAATTGGCTGCTCAACAGAGCCTTTGAGGTTGGGGGTGGACCCCACTTGAGAACCCCTAAACCAGACTCTCTGGGAAGGGGACATGCGGCAATGTACACTTCTAACAAGCTCCCAGTGATTCTGACTCATAGACAGTTTTGGAGCTATTGGTTTAATCTGTGCCCTTCCCCATATAGATCTGGGGGAAAAAATGTCAGTAATTAAAATCATGCCCAAACAAAACATACCTCATTAATGACCAAGTCACAGCTAGAATCCATGTTTATGCTTAAAGGTCTCTTTGTGCTAAACCCTCTGGGCAGGAGATGAATGACCCCCTTTATCTCCCTCTTCTTCCCCTTTACTCCTCATTTGCTGAATTCCTCCATATGTTAGATGGAAGAAGTAAAAAAGGAAGGATGCAGTCCACAGAGAAGTGATAAAGTGGGAATTAAGGAGATTTATGGTCACTGCAGCACAGACACAGGGTAAAGTGAACGTGTGGTCAGAACAAAAGGGAAGCCAACAGGTGACTCTTCAGCCAGGGACTACTCAATATACAGTCAAATGCTCTGCCCCTGAACCATATCCCTTATCCCATTTAGACTTGCCTGATTAGCACCATTTCACCTACATTGTCCCACCCAAGGATCCAACGTATATTGTAATTTTTCCTCATTTCTAGCAAACTATTGGGAACTGACTAACTAACCTCATTTAGACAGATCTCTAGCTAGTTTTAAAAAGAGAGAGAGAGAGAAATCTAAAAAGCAACCTGTAAAAAAAATATATTAAAATTTATAATTGACAGCTGACTTAGCAACAGAAATGATGGTATACGGTTGACAATGGAAAAAGATTTTATAGTGCTGAAAGGAAATAGTCCAATTAGAATTCTATCCAACAGTAATTACTTTAAATACAAATTTTAAAACTCCAATTAAAATAATAAGATTTTCAGACTGAATGAGAAAATATGCAGAAACTTCATGTCCAGCAATTTATGAGCATGTTAAAGGCAAAACTAAATGGAAAACAGATGCATCTTTAACAAGACCCTGTGCAGGTTGTCAGTTAGGGTGCAAATTAGAAACTGCATAGATGTCCAAAAGGGGTGTGGTTGGCTAAATAAATTGTAGTAGCAGCCATACAAAAGCATATGAGGCAGCCACTACAAAAGGCTTCCTAAAAGTTTTTCCATTGGCATGAGAAAGTCATCAAGACTTTTTTATGTTAAAAAACATAAAATAGGAAGAATAGTTTTATTTTTGTAAGAGAATTATACACATATTATAAACAAATATTATCCCTGAAATGACGTATTTGCTTTTCTCCAGACAAAAAAAAAAAAAGAAGAAAGAAAAAAAAAGCAACAATTCCAATTGCCTGTGTCACTTACACAAGAGTTACTTTTCTCTGAAAATAAACTGATTCCAACCAGAATCAAAATGGATCAGTGCAGACAGGTATTGACTGCCCGAATTTCACCTGCTTTCTCCCTGACGTAGCACAGAGGACCCAGCACCCAGGCTGGTGGTCTCGTAGCACAAAGATATCCTGATTCTAAGTCTCTGGCCTCTTCGCATTTCTGCAGAGCCACACAAATTTTCTTACAAATCTTCTGTCCCTATTCCACTGGTCATTCCAAGGATGGCATCACGTTGCTCTTCCAATGGCCAGAAAGGAAGAGGGTGAAGGTAGTGGGATCGGTTGGTGGGTTTTTTTTTCGCAAACTGCTGAAAAATACTCTGCTTGATTTAAGAAAAGAATTGATTGCACACACTTCACAGAATTGCTAGGCAGTAGAGAACAAGGCTTGGGAAAGGCAGGACCTCAGAGAGTCAGCCTCAGAGATTCGGAGGTCATCCTGAGATTACAACAGCAGTGTCACCAAGAGGCCAGAGTGGTCCAGGAATTGCAGCTGCATGACCCAGCACCAGCCATTCTGGGCGCTGTGTCTCTTGTCCTCGGCTCAGATGCCAAGGAGAGCATCTGCGTGAGGCACTGGTGTCAGGGCGTGCCCACCTCCTTGTTAAAGAAGGTCCCAGGTTCCAGTCCTAACAGACAGCATCCAAGGAAAACCGGGATGTTATCAGGAGGGGGAAATGCATGTTGAGAAGCCAAAAAAAAAAAAGCTCCCATATGTTTACGACATTGGTTATTACTGAGACACTTGCATCAAGAAATATGTAGGAATGGTTGCCGTGTTTACATAACAGAAATAGCTGTTGTCACAGCTGGACGTAGGAGAGAATGGGGACTTTAGGAGAGAATGGGGACTTTAGGAGGTCAGTGTTTTCCTGTTCTTTGTCTTTTGCACCTGCGAAATATCCCTTTGAACTCAGTGTCAAGGATGTTTCCATTATTACAAAAATCAACTTATTCTTGGTTGAAAAGCAGAAAGGCTAGGTCATCACCGACATTGCAATGAGATGTCAAAGTTGTGTGTGTGTGTGTGTGTGTGTGCATGCACGTGTGTGCACACATGCATGAGTTCAATATTACAAAAAAAAATTTTTTTTTTTTAGCTGAGCCATCCCGCCACCTGTTGGCAGCTCACGGCTGCTCAGCTCGGGCTGACTCGAACCGCTGTTGCTCAGAGCTCAAACTTTTGAGCGAGCTCTTAACCAACTGAGCCACTCAGCCGGCCCTCAAAAAATTTTTTTTGGATTACTACAAATATAAAAACATATATACATGTAAGTTGAAGTTGGCAACTAGTAACCACCCCTGTGTTCTACCTGACTACTCAGGAGACCCTTTGCATCTTTTATCATCCCTGGCATCATTACTTGGGTAACAGGAAAAACTCCCAGTAAAGGCTAAGATGAAAACAAGAGGGAGCCACTTGTCCCTCAAGTTTCAGGAGGTGTCGTCCTGAAGGAAATTTGGAGACACAGGCTCATGAGCAGGGGCGATCCAACCCCGCCAGCCAGGCTCTCAGGCAAGGTACACTGGTTAGGGAGCTGCTGGACAATGAGCTCAGTCTATGAGCACAGTCTGAGTTGGGGCCACCTGTTCAGCCAGAAGTGTCAGGGGGACAGAGGGAGAAAGTTGTCTGTCATTTGGCTTCTGCAGCTGTCAGCAGAGCCATCACCAGGGCTCACACAATTAGGCCTCCTCAAAATATGGAAAGAGGGCTCAAAGGTGGCGGGGGAAAGAGAAAAAGAAAACAACACAAGGAGAAACACTCACCAGAGAAAAGGGAGGCATGGTGGGACTGAGGCAGCACTGAGGAGCTGGTCTGGGGAGGTCCCGTGGGGCTGCAGGAGTGTGGGGAGGGGTGCGAGGGAGCCTGACCCCCCGACCCTCTCTCCCCACCTAACTCAGGGAGCATCTGAATTTGAATCAGGGACCCCTGGATCGTCAGTCACATGCTTGACTCAGAAACAACCCGCGTTGTATAATAAGCATGTTTCAATTCTGAACTTTAACGCAAGGAGTCGAGTTATTACTCATGAGCTGTCACCACACCGAGCAGCACTGTGCCACTACAATCTGTCACCACTGTACCATGTCCTTGCCTTCCTCACCTTTCCCACATCCTCCACCTCTGCACACCTGGCCACGGTCTATGCTACAGCCCAGCACCCAGCTGCCCTCAGTCCTGGGCTGAAGGCAAAGCTTGAAAATCATTGATGTTTACCACCAGAGTGTTTCCAGCCACTTAGAATCACTGGGTGTTAGGATCCAGGTTAGCAGGGGAGTGTGCCTCCCAAAAACAAAGTGCCCAGGCCCCTCCTCAGGCCTACTAAGCCAGAATTTCTAGAAGGTAATCTGTATTTTTAGTAAGGACACTACATAATTCTGATATACTCAGCCTGGGTAGCCTCTGATTCCGTGTGTTCCTCCATGACGTACACTTCTAAAAGCACCTAATTAAGAACTTCTGATATACACAGTTTATTAATGACAGCTCCATGACTTGTTCCAGGTAACAGAAGTCACCCGAGAAAACGGACAGACCAAGGAAGTGTGGTGACGAG